CTTAATAATAATTCCTCTTTTCTTTCACAGTACGGTATTTGACACAAGGATAGGGAAGAGAATTCCACTTCCCCAGGAAGCCTATTCTAGAAGTGCCCCCTTTCAGGAGTGGGTTCAGAAAGATCAGCAGCAGCAAAGCATAAAGGCAACAATTAACATTCTTGCTCCAAAAGGTGGTGAGATGTGGGTTAAACTTAGCGGTCACCTGCAGCCTTTTGCAGAGTCAACCATGGACTTGACTTCGAACCACTTCCTGCACCCTTTTTACACACTCAAACGTCTCGGTAACCTCAGCAAAAGCTGAGAACTTGAACGTGTGGGTTTAGAACAAGGGGAGGGCTGAGCTTTCTTCCGAAACCCCTCTTTATTTTTTTCAAGACAGATAATGATCTATAGCAGGGCTTCTTAAACTTTTTGTCCTCATTAACTTTGGAATGGGAGCAATCATCTTGCCCTAGATTTTAATTATTTCAGCTAGTTACTTCTCCGCAATCTGAGCCAAGGAAGTGGACCAATGATTTGGATGTGATCCTGGGCACGGGGGTCTCAAAAGCCTCCTTGTGCTGTGTGTGCTCCCAGGGAGGAAAGAGAAGAAACAGGAAGGACGGTTGCAATAACTTAATAATAATAATAATAATAATAATAATAATAATAATAATAATAATAATAATAATAATAATAATAATAATAATAATAATAATAATAATAATAATAAAGTTGGAAGGGACCTTGGAGGTCATTGAGTCCAACCCCCTGCTCAGGTAGGAACCCTACACCATTTCGGACAAATGGCTGTCCAGTCTCTTCTTAAAAACTTCCAGTGTTGGAGCATTCACCGCTTCTGGAGGCAGGTTGTTCCACTGGTTAATTGTTCTAACTGTCAGGAAGTTTCTCCTTAGTTCTAGGTTGCTTCTCTCCTTGATCAGTTTCCATCCCTTGTTTCTTGTCCTGCCTTCAGGTGCTTTGGAGAATAGCTTGACTCCCTCTTCTTTGGGGCAGCCCCTGAGATACTGGAACTCTGCTATCATGTCCCCCCTCATCCTTCTCTTTGTTAAACTAGACATACCCAATTCCATCAGCCTTTCCTTACATGTTTTAGCCTCCAGTCTCCTAATCATCTTTGTTGCTCTTCTCTGTACTCTTTCTAGAGTCTCAGATCTTTTTTACATTGTGGTGACCAAAACTGGTCACTTTTTGAGGTCCTTTCTCCCAGATTCCATCAACCCTAAGCAGACCGAGATGCAGAGCTAATGAACGATGGAAACTGTATCTTTAGCTCAGTGTGAGAAATACTAACTTGAAGGATCCCCAACGAGAGGCTGATTAAAATTTAAATTTTAAATTCCTTTGTAAGGAATTTAAATGAAGACTCAATGAGAATTTGGTTTTGTGTGGCTTGTTCCTGGAATCATCACAGCAGCACTTAGGAGCCAGAAAAAATATTCCCTTGTGCTCAGTTTTTTTTTTCTAGGCCTCCTCTGAAAAAGCAAGAGGAAACCAGGGGTATTTCCATCCTTACCTGAATCTTCTTGTAGAATGGTTCTTTTCTGGGACAATGATGACCTGAAGAATCTGAGGGAGAAAAGAGGATGAAGGGAGAAGGTTTGGAAAGAGGACAGCGTCCCTCCGAATGCTATAGGTGTAAAGGTTGAAAAGCCAGCAAAGCTGAGGTACGGTCCTGTCTGAATGCTTCTCTCAACGATCTTAAAGCTCACCTCTATCTTTTTTGATCTTCGCCCACCCACTTCCTTTCCTTCGTTTAGGTCTGGTTTTCTTCTTCACACTCCGCTTCTGAGTTAATTATGTGTTTGCGGTTGCATTCATTTTCATTCCTGTCTCTCTTTTAATCTGAAACCATCTTGGTATGAATTGCCTCTTGAGAACCTGTCCAGTCTGACAAATGGCTGTCCAGTCTCTTCTTAAAAACTTCCAGTGTTGGAGCATTCACCGCTTCTGGAGGCAGGTTGTTCCACTGGTTAATTGTTCTAACTGTCAGGAAGTTTCTCCTTAGTTCTAGGTTGCTTCTCTCCTTGATCAGTTTCCATCAGTTGCTTCTTGTCCTGATTTCAGGTGCTTTGGAGAATAGCTTGACTCCCTCTTCTTTGGGGCAGCCCCTGAGATATTGGAACACTGCTATCATGTCCCCCCTCGTCCGTCTCTTCATTAAACTAGACATTCCCAAATCCAGCAAACGTTCCTTATGTGATTTAGCCTCCAGTCCCCAATCATCTTTGTTGCTCTTCTCTAGAGTCTCAACATCTTTTTTACATCGTGGTGACCCAAACTGGATGCAGAATTCCAACCTGGCCAATCAGAAGTCAGGAACAACTTGGCTACTTGTTTTTCCTCCAGGTAAAATGTTTCTCAACTTTGGTAACTTGAAGATGTGCGGATTTCAATTCCCAGAATTCCCCAGCCAGCCCACCGATCACATGACCGTGAGGATGTTGCGGCGGTCATTTAAGCGCAAGGACCAGTCACAATTGCTTTGAATTGCAATTTGAATAGATGACACACAAACACACACGTGTGTCTGGCTTTCCCCTTTGCTATCTTCTGTCCAGGATTTTATCTGTTCGTGTTTTTTATCTGCTGTGTTTTTACAATGGAGGATTTTAATAATAATAATAATAATAATAATAATAATAATAATAATAATAATAATAATAATAATAATAATAATAATAATAATAATAATAATAATAATAAAGTTGGAAGGGACCTTGGAGGTCTTCCAGTGCAACCCTCTGCTCAGGCAGGAAACCCTATAACATTTCAGACAAATGGCTATCCAATCTCTTCTTTAAAACCTCCAGTGTTGGATCATTCACAACTTCTGGGGGCAGGTTGTTCCACTGGTTAATTGTTCTGATTGTCAGGAAATTTTTCCTTAGTTCTAGGTTGCTTCTCTCCTTGATTGGTTTCCATCCATTGCTTCTTGTCCTGCCCTCAGGCACTTTGGAGAATAGCTTGACTCCCTCTTCTTTAGGGCAGCCCCTGATATATTGGAACACAGCTATCATGTCACCCCTTGTCCTTCTCTTCATTTTTCATTTTTTTTAATGTTGTAAGCTGACCAGAGTTATTGGAGACGATATGGGCAGCCAATAAATTTGATAAATAAATAACTAAATAAACAAACAAATAAACAAATAGGCAAAATAGGACGGAAATCTTTGGAAAGAAATATTTTATATAGGGGAAAATGGAATATTGACTACAAGCTATTCAACGTAGGTTTGACATCGTTAACAAAAGGGGAAATTAAGATTTCTTTTCAGAGTTTTTGCAATCCCTAAGACACACACACACACACACACACACACACACACACACACACACACTGTATGTCAGAGAGGCCATTTTGTGATTTCAGAATCTCGCAGGATTTCTTTGAAGCCATCCGCCTCACGCCCTTGGGATCTGCAATTTGCTGTCCTTCTCTCCCTCATCCCAAAACTGAGAAGAGGAGGAGGAAGAGGAACTCCAGATGGATGAGGTGACAGACTCCCCACTGTCCCTGTCCGACAGAACAGCTCCGTGCATCAACATATGCTGGTGAGCTACAAGCCCCAGAAAACCTGCAGGCGGGTAGAGAGGGGAGAAGGGCAGAAGGCAGTAAGAGCACTGAAGGAAGTAACTTATGACCATTTTTCAGGCTTATGACCGTTGCGGCATCCCCCGTGGTCACGTGATCAAAATTCAGACGCATGGCCACTGACTTGTATTTATGACGGTTGCAATATCCTGGGGTCACGTGATCCCCTTTGGCGACCTTCTGACAAGCAAAGTCAATGAGGAAGCCAGATTCACTTCAACAACCGTGTCACTAACTTAACCACTGCAGTGATTCACTTAACAACTGTGGCAAGAAAGGTCACAAAATGGGGCAAAGCCCGCTTAACAGATGTCTCACGTAACCACAGATTTGAAGCTCAGTTGCGGTGGTAAGTCAAGGACTACCTGTTTGTGCAAGGGGGAAAGGATATTTATTTGTTTTTCTCATGCCGTTTTTATTAAAGGGATTTTTAAAAAGATAAAAGCAATGCAAATATCAGGAAAGAAACAAAGAATGTAAAACAAGAGAAAGAGAAAGAGAAAGAAGAAGTTACGGAATGGAGAGCACCAATAGGTTCTGGTTTGATATCTCTGAATCTCCAACCAGGATCTTAGTTTGAATCATCACCCCATCTCTGATTTCTTGTTTAGGGAAGAAACTAAATTCAATTGCTTCTCATTTTTGAGAACCAATTCAGAAGCCTTGAGTTGAGTTTCGGTTGTATTTATACACTGCTGGCAGCCCTCTTTAGTTTATTATTCTCCAATTCTGCTTATTGGATGAGTGGAATCATTTTGATCCTACACGAGACCCAGGTCTTGCTTAGCATGTGAAGAAGGTAGTACACAACTCTGAGATTCTCATATCAGCAAGAGGATCTGGGATCCTGAGGTTCACACTTCTTTGGAAAAGGACAGCAAAATGTGGAAAACAAAAAACAATCCAAGGTGAAACACACAGCTTCGACATTTTTAATTTTGGTATTGTGGAAGCCTAAACGATGATGATTTCTATGGAGGTGTGAGATACTCATGGTGATCCAGAACAATTCTGATTTCAGAGGAATAAACAAGAGCACTGAACTGCATTCATGTAAAAGTATTTTCTGGATATGTTCTGTGATGGGATTATGTCTATGGGAATACTGCTGCCATGGGAGGTGTAAAAGTAGGTGGGAATGACCTTGGGAGACAGGAGGAAGAGCTGTGCAGCCTAGACCAGGGGTAGGCAACCTTGGCTCTTTTATGACTCGTGGACTTCAACTCCCAGAATTCTTGAGCCAGCATGGCTCATCTTGGAAACTCTCCCTTTCCCCTCAGCATGGCTGGCTCAGGAATTCTGGGAGTTGAAGTCCACGAGTCATAAAAGAGCCAAGGTTGCCTACCCCTAGTCTAGACTATGGTCTGTTAAAGGAAACCTAAGTGCAAAAGAAGACTGATATGGAGAAGGCTTCTCAGAAGAGACCCTCCCCGGTTGTGGGGAGAATAAAACTAAGGGAGGAGAGGGGTACTTTCAGATTTCTGGGTTTGGATGGGTGTTACAGTTGGCTTCTTATTTTCACCACCACCACCACCACCATCATCATCATATTAATCGTAACTTTTTGTAGTTTGGAATTGTTTGACACTTGGGGTCCCTACAAGAACAGGTCTACAAGAACAGTCAAATTTTTAAATAAATAAATAAATAAACCCCAACTTATTTAGGTTCATGCACGTTTTTTGATCTCGTTATTTCAGCGGCACCCCCCTTCTGCTTCTCTCATCTGAGGATACTGATGGACCAGTGCCATTGCTAACAACCATCCCCCCTCCCCAAAATAAACCAATATAAGCAATCAATAATTGATATAATCAATATAACCAACGATCAATATTCTGTAACCAATAATTTTGGTTATAGGATGCCAGTGCAAGATGAGGTTTGCGAGCTACCTAATCCAACCGTCACTCATTGCAAAACATAATCTGATGTGGAGCACCTCCAAAGATGGCCGCCCACCGTTTGCTGAGGGAATCCTTTATTTCCCAGTTAGGAAATTGATCCGAACATTGCACCACCACCTCACTAAAAACCACCTTCTTGAAACATACAGTCATACAAATGGCTCGTGATATTCTTCCATCTCACCACTTAAAATAAAGAAGGGACAAGTGACCCAGGCCAGGTAGAAAGGCCACTGATAGGAGGCGGCAAATGTTCTGCTGATGCCGTGTGTGGAGATCCGGATGGTGTAAACGCTTAGGCCGAGAAACACAAAGGCAGCTGTGGAAGTACAGGAAGACAATCAACTAGATTCCTTTCAGACCCTTTATATTCTTTTTTAGAATTTTGTTTTTATAAAAGCTGTGTAAGAGCTGGGGTTGGCGCAGTGGTTAGAATGCAGTACTGCAGGCTACTTCTGCTGACAGTTAGAACTATTAACCAGTGGAACAACCTGCCTCCAGAAGCGGTGAATGCTCCAACACGGGAAGTTTTTAAGAAGAGACTGGACAGCCATTTGTCCGAAATGGTATAGGGTTTCCTGCCTGAGCAGGGGGTTGGACTATATGACCTCCAAGGTCCCTTCCAACTTTATTATTATTATTATTATTATTATTATTATTATTATTATTATTATTATTATTATTATTATTATTATTATTATTATTATTATTATTATTATATGAATGCCCATCAAAGACATAAATTTTTACCTGTGATGAAAGATCCCACGGCAGGCACCAAGTACCGGTATGTTGCAGAACTGGCGGAATAGCGATAAGTGATGCTCATAAATGAAGCCCCAACGAATCCAGAGAAAAGAGCCATTATTAGGAGTGTCTTGGCACCATTGAGGTTGGCTGTGGTAGTTATGACAATAAAATAGAAGACCACTTGTTAGAAGCTTTGAGAGTAGGGCTGTTCTGTCTGTGCACACGTGTTTATACACAACTTTCCAAATCCGAATTATGCATCAATCAAAATTTTATAAGTCCATACAAGAAACCTTCTCTAGCTTTCTAAGATCCCATACCTAAGATATCAGAAGCAATTATTGACCTATATATGAGTCTCTTTCAAATTAGTCACCCTTCTATGCTCTCACCAAGGAAGGCATGCAGATGTGCATTTGAGGT